AAAGTACTCATTACCTTACTCATGTGACTGTAATCCCTCTATATACTATCTTTACAATAAAAAAATATAAAAAAGAAAAAAACTGAAAGAAAAAAAAGTAATAGATGGGAATTAGCGTAACCAAAGATGTGAAGGACCTTACAAAGCTGAAAAAAGAAATTCAAGCAGATTTAAGGAAATGGAAAACCTTCCATGCACTTGTATTGAAAGATTAACATTGTGAAAATGGCTGTGCTGCCCAAATCAACTTACAAATTCAATTCAACATCTGTCAAAATTCTAACATCAGTCTCCAAAGCAATTCAAAGATTCATATGCAATAATAAAAGACCTCAAATACCAAAAACAAACAATCCTTAGCAGGAAGAACAGTACTGGAGGAATATCAAACTTCAAACTATTACAAAGACATAGGAATAAAAACAACTTGGTAATGCCACAAGAACAGGCCTGAGGACCTATGGAACAGAAGACCCAGAAATGAACCCACTGAACTAGAGCCACCTAATATTTGATAAGGGAGCCAAAAGCACAGGTTGGAAGAGAGCTTATTTAACAAATGATGCTTAAAAACCCCAAAAACAATGATGCTGGCAAAATTGGCTAAACAAATGCAAAAACTGAAGCTAGGTCTTTATATATTACCCTGCACCAGAATCATGTCCAAATTGATCAAAAACCTTAATGTAAGTCCAGATAGGATGAAACTATGACAGGAAGAGATAGACGAAACACTAGAGCTTCTTGGAATGGGTCAAAACTTCCTAAGATCAGATCCAGAAACACAATGTATCAAAGAAAGACTGGATGAATGGGATTGAATCAAACTGAAGAGTTTCTGCATGGCAAAGGATATAGCTGGCAAGATAAATAGAAAGCGCACAGAACGGGAGAAGATCTTTACTAGCTGTGCATCAGACAAGGGCTTCATAGCTAGAATGTCCTTAGAGCCCAAAAAATTAACCCCCCCAAAACAAATCCTTAAAGAAAACAACCCAATTAATAAATGGACTAAAGATTTAAAGAGAGGCATCTCAGAAGAACTAAGAATAACCAATAGACACATGAAGAAATGTTCTACATCTCTGGTCATCAAGGAAATGCAAATCCAAACAACATTAAGATTCCACCTTACCTCCAGTTAGAAAGGCTATTATCAAGAGAACTAACAATAACAAATGCTGGTGGGGATGTGGACAAAAGGGAACGCTATTACATATTGTTGGAAATGTAAACTTGTTCAACCACTCTGAAAAGCAGCATAGAAATTCCTCAGAAAACTAAAAACAGAGCCTCCTTATAACTTAATAATCTCAGTCCTGGCAATTCATGGAAATAACCACAAGCAAGTCCACACTAAAACTACCAACACAACCATGTTCACTAAGCATTATTTCCCTTAGCCAAGATATGGAATCAGCTCAGATGCTCCTCAGTTTACAAATAGCTCAAGAAAATGTGGTATATACACAATGGAATTCTAGTCCCTCATCAAAAAGAATGACATTGCACATTTTGTAAGGAACTAGAAAGACTTAGAGAAAATCATATTAAATAAAATTAGTGAGTCTCAAAGAAACATAGGTTGCATGCTTTTCCTCATTTGTTGTAACTAGCAAGTGCCTATAAATCTACACAAAAACGCACTGGATTGTAAAAGAGAATAAAAATACACTTAGATATGATTAATTATACAGGACTCCAGAGGTATTCACACAATGAGACAAAGGTGGGTATTCTTAGGACAGGAACACAAAGGCTCAATAGCTATTTGCATATGTTCATATAAGATTATATATATGTGTATATATATATATATATATATATATATATATATATATAGTTTTTGTTTTTGTTCCCTGGACCTTTTGGGTTGTATGTAACTTTATCTGTTTGGGGGAGGGTAAAGGGGGGTGAACATATGCAGCAGTGATACTAGACACTATGTTGAAAACGAATCATACAAGTTTGTGGGAGGAGGGAGCAAAGAACTGGGAGAGAGCGAGGAAAAGGTGACATGGTTCAAATAGAAAGGTGCTCATTACCTGACTTCTGTAACTGTAGCCCCTCGGTACACCACCTTCACCGTAAAGACTCTAAAAATTCCTGATATGGTAATCAAAACGTTTAATAGGTCAAATAAATAAATCATGTGATAGCAAAACTTTGTGTTTAAACATTCAGATCACATTTAGTAATCTCTTAACCAATATTCACATACAATATGTAGCCTTCATTACAATAGCAGATGATATTTTGTTTTGTTATTTTAAAATTATGTCAGTACTACAGGATTTTCTCCTGAAAGTTGATTTTAGGGGTTAAACATAGACACATATCATATATACATTTTGCACACATCACACACAAACATACTTGAAAATACTGATAAGGGCTTATAACTGATGGAACTGAAGATGATCACCTGTAATCAGTAGGTGACTTCATCAAATCGCCAGGTAATCTCCTATAAAACCTGAAGTGTAATGAATAATGATGTAAAAAAGAAAAAATAATAATGTACAATTAGTTTATTACAGATTCTTCTTCATTTAGAAATCTATGATTTGAGATCTATGATTTTGTCTGTTTCCCATATGATTTTGGTTTGTACGCCGCTTCAGATAGCTATAGTTCATAAATAGATTTAAAGAGAGACTCATTAGAATTGTGTGTGTGTGTGTGTGTGTGTGTGTGAGTCATGAGGCTTGAACTCAGGGTCTGGGCGCTATTCCTGAGCCTTTTTTTCGCAAGGCTAGTGCGCTACCACTTTGAGCCACTCTGCCACGTTTTCTGAGCTAAGTGTCTCACAGACTGTTGGGGCTTGCCTTGAACTGTGCTGCTCAGATCTCAGCTGCTTAAGCAGCTAGGATTACAAGGGTGAGCCACCAGGCCTGGCCTTTAGACAGGCTATGGTTCTTCTAGTGCTTTCCTGTGTCACTGGTGACTGTAGTGCATCCACACCCACACTCAGCCATTGATTAACATGGAGTGTGGTCAATGTTTATGCCCAGACTGGCTTTGACCCCAAATCCTCTGATTTCCTCTCTCCCAAGCAGCTAGGTTGAAAGGTTTGAGCCAACTTGCACAAAGAACTTTTCCACTTTTAGTCGGCTTTCTCTTTTGATTTAGTAGCCGCACTGATGTCTTAGGGGGACGGGTTTTTGTTGTTGTTTAATCTTTTGTGAAGGAGATGGAAAGCAGCATAGGCATGTTCTTATAGTTTGAGATTATTTTTGTCACTGGAGCAGAAAATATTGCTACTTTTTCTCCTGTCTAGCATTCTGCTATAAGCTACTTTGAGTTTTCCAAGTTTCCTTATTCTCCTGTTGAGAGTCAAAAATTGAAATGTAGACAAGCCATCTTTTCCTCCCATTAGGTGATGCCATTTCTGGCCATTCACCTTTGTGCAGATATAAAATAATAAGATATGAAATTATGCGGAATTTCGAGTGTGGGTATGTTAAGACCTAGTTTTCCTCCTACAGCTTTACAAAGAACTGGAAGAGAGGCAGGCATGGTTGGTGGCTCACACCTGTAATCCCAGCTAACTGCGGGAGGCTGAGATCAGACGATCAAGGTGTGAGTACAGACCAGGCAGAGAAATCCTAGAAACCCCATCTCAGATTATCCAGAAAAAAATGTTGGTCTGTGGTGTCGCAAGTGCTGGAGCTCCAGTCATGACTGAGAAAGCTCTGTGAGAACTGGAGGCCTGAGTTCGAGACCCAATATCAGCACAAAACAAGGAGAATAAAGAAGAACCTGAAGAGGTAAAGCCAGCTCAAGAAAACCTACTGGCAACACAAGCACACTACTTCTTTACCTGTCCCCGCATGTTTTTCTGGTCTCCACTGGCTCTCCACCACGTGTCTGACCACTTTGGTACTTCGCAGCATGCTCTTCTGTCTTTTCCTTGACATGACATTTGACTTCGAACTTTCCAATGCATTTGTTGAGTGCTGTGCTGCTTTCTCTTCCTACCACTTCCAAACATCTCTCTTTTCTTCTATTCTCCTTCTTCTTCCTCATTCCAAAGACAGCTTCCAGAACCATCGTCAAGTCGAGCAGTGAGTAGGTGTGGCGAGGAGGGTGTAAAGGTTTCCTCCATCTCTGGGCAGGGTCCCGAGGTCTCTACAGTGTGACAAGCACCGCACCACGACTCCTGCTGCGGCGATGATGATGGTGATGATGATGGTGATGATGATGGTGATGGTGATGATGATGGTGATGATGGTGATGGTGATGATGGTGATGGTGATGATGGTGATGATGGTGATGGTGATGATGGTGATGATGATGATGATGGTGATGATGATGGTGATGGTGATGATGGTGATGGTGATGATGATGGTGATGGTGATGATGGTGATGATGATGATGGTGATGGTGATGATGATGATGATGATGGTGATGATGGTGATGGTGATGATGATGATGGTGATGATGATGATGGTGATGGTGATGGTGATGATGGTGATGATGGTGATGATGGTGATGGTGATGATGGTGATGATGATGGTGATGATGATGGTGATGATGGTGATGATGGTGATGATGATGATGATGGTGATGATGGTGATGATGGTGATGATGATGATGGTGATGATGGTGATGATGGTGATGGTGATGATGGTGATGATGGTGATGATGATGGTGATGATGGTGATGATGATGATGGTGATGATGGTGATGATGATGATGATGGTGATGGTGATGATGATGATGGTGATGATGATGGTGATGATGGTGATGATGGTGATGGTGATGATGGTGATGATGATGATGATGGTGATGATGATGATGATGGTGATGATGGTGATGATGGTGATGATGATGATGGTGATGTGGTGATGATGATGATGATGATGGTGATGATGATGATGATGATGATGATGATGGTGATGATGATGATAGTGATGATGATGATGATGATGATGGTGATGATGGTGATGATGGTGATGGTGATCATGATGGTGATGGTGATCATGATGATGGTGATGATGGTGATGATGATGTTGATGACGGTGATGGTGATCATGATGGTGATGATGGTGATGATGATGGTGATGATGATGGTGGTGGTGGTGATGATGATGATAAGAGAGAGAAGTCTATGAGGAAATGATTTAAGGCAGCTTCAATCGGGAGCCAGAGCGAGGGCCTGAATTCAATCCCAGCACTATTAAAAATCTCGAAACAATCACACACATACGCACTGCTAGACGGTGCTAGAAGATTCGGTAGACGCCCCCCCCCCCAGCCCGCCTAGGAGGGCAGCGGAAGTAGTAACTCAACATGGACAGAAAGTTCGAGCAGCGCCACTCCTGTCGGGAGGGGCTCTGGTGACCCCGGGCTCTGGTCTCAGGAGCACAGGTGAAAGGTCAGGGGTCGGGGGCCCAGGGGACGCAGGAGGCAGGGGCTCGACCTCCGCGGGTGTCGCCGGCGCCGCGGGGCCCACGGGGCCTGGAGT